TTATCGACCAAGCAGGAACAAGCCAGCAGCAGTTATAGAAGCAAAAGAAGACTACCATGAATTTATGCCAATTCTAATACAAAATCTGAGCCCAACTTTGTTGAAAACATGACATAAAAAGTCAAAAGCCTTTTATACTGACTAGAAGAACCACAAATATGATAATCTTAACAATAACTGGACAGTTACATTACAAAACAAAATGTATTATAAACTTAAGAAACCAAATTAAAACGTACAAATAACTTACAAATGAAAAGATCCAAAACACCGTTTGAAGAGAAATTCATATGAACTCAAAATACAAAACAATAAACCAAAGTATACATCACAGTGAAGGCTATTTAGTGTCTGACAGATGGTCTGGGTGTAGACAAAGTTTGACTAAATTTATAGCATAATTAATGGTTTGCACATATAATTATCTAGCAATAATCCTGAAAAGGAACTATTCTCACATTGAACACAAAACATACAAACTCCAGGTATATATCACACTAACTACTAGTAATACAGAATACTTGAAATAATAATATACACTCTTCTTGCTAGAAATGTGTATTCAGCTAGTGAAAAATGATGCAATAAAAAATGTTACCAGTCTTAATTCTAAAAGTTTTACATGTATTTATAGTGTAAAATGGCCAAGCAGATAAATCATAATTATTTGATTGGTAAAAGGGGTTTCACAACATTGCAATTACTAGCACATCATAGGGGTTATTTTATAATAATTAAACATTAACTCTCCTTATCAGATAAAGCTCAGTTAATTTATTTTGGGTTAAATTCCATTTTATTATGTTACCAGTTACACGTAATTAAGGCTTTGACTGCAAAATATTATAAAGTTATTGGTTACTATACAAAGCCTTTGATTATTTTCAGTCTTATGCATTATTTTTTAATACCTGTTCATAAATGGTGGTTTAAACTTTGAAGCTTATCATACACACAGTTTTTCACAGGTTTGTATTAATGTTTAATGTAATCATATAAATTAACAGAATATTGAGTGGCATAAATTAAATTTTTTTCAAAGACATTTAAAAATTACTATCCAAGTTTTATTTATGTAACATACATAATGATTAAGATACTTGAAAATGGTCTGTTTCTGATTCTCAAACTAATAAAACAGAAAGCAAGAGGAAATTATCTACACAATATGATTTACAAAACTTATTACATTAAAAATATTAAAGTAATTCATAAAAAGGGTTTAAATTCTGTCAACATAAAATACAACACTCAAAAATTAATTTGTCTAAGTAATATTCTGATTTTTATGGAAAAAAATGTTGTTCACCTTATCAAACAGTTCAAATCTTAATTTAACACGGCATATTTAAAATTACATTTCATCTCTTAAATTTGAGTTACTTTACATGATCAATTTCTTCAAAACTCAGTACACAACGAATATTCCTTTTCATCTAGAAATCACACTCCTTTCAACATGGTTATATCTCAGTAATAGTTTGAAATTGTGGCTAATATGTCCAAGATATCTAACTCTTCATTATAAGTGAAATGTTAACATTTATTACAGAAAACAAAACAGTCTTTTAACATTTTACAACTTAGTTTTACACACAAGACATTGAGAACTTGTAATATATTTTAGCATTTTACATTATAGTAAATCCAATTTTTGATTTTTTTTGTTTGAAGTGAAGCACAAAGCTACATAATGGGCTATCTGTGCTTTGCCAACCATGTGTATCAGAACCCAGATTCTAGCATTGTAAGTTCATGTTAAGAAAGATGCAGTTTAACAAAAATTGGAGATCCCCCAGTGATACGGTGGTATGCCTAACACGTGCACATACAAATAAGATACATATAGATATTTATATATTTTTGTTTTTGACAGTTAATTACAAAAACTTTGCATGTGTTTGTGTAGGACTGTAGATATTAAATATAATTAACAAAAGAATATGAAGTGAAAAAAAAAGGTTGAGCTTAACTTTGTGAATATATACTTGTGAGTAAAGGGAATCGATGCCCATGATCTAATCTACAAAGGTTCTTACGTTTAGGTTAACAACAATATACAATATAATCTTTAATCTCAAAATAAAATAAAAATTACATCTCATCTGAAAGGTTTTAAAGGATTTTTCTACCACCAGTTTTCAAGCTGATTATTCAACAAAGTGGATATATAGCACAGGTCTCCATCAGGTCCAATGACGAAGAGCCTGCAAAATGTCATCTTTAAGTAGGTGGATGAAATTTCTGATAAAATTTTTCAGATCAACTAAAATTGTCCATCTAAGTCTTTTAACCAACAATGAACTTCGTTTTCTTTTTAAAATAACAATAAGTTTATATCTTTTCTTTATAACCAAAGATATAGTTTCCACATACAACGTAACATTATTAATGTATCAATTAAAAATATTATACAAATGACTATTACTATAACATAATTTAAAAGTTAGTTTAAGTAGAGAAGAATAGCAAGATATATAATTTGTAATAAAAATATATGGAATTATTGCAATGGTTTAAGCTTTGCCAAATTATCTTCCAAAATTAGGAACTATTCATTTACACTCGTCATTCTGTCAGTTGCAGCTTATAGAACTTTACATTCTCCCTTTTAGTTATCCTTCTATTTTCTGATATTGAAATGAAATGAAAAAAAATATACACACAAAAGATGCATAAAGTCTGACATAAGAAAGGCTTATGTCAGATAGTCATGTATATGCTGTAAATATTTTTTTAACTTAATGTTACTTATTTTCAGGAAAGTAGTATAAAGAACAAAAAAATTATCTAGTGGTTTATATATCCACATTCATATAAAATTTAATGTAGGTGCATGTGTATTGATTTGACCTCAATATAGTTGTTTCTTATTTTATGAAAAATAACAATGTGTGTGTTAACAGAGGTGAAATTCTGCTGGTACTCAGTACTGGGACTTATTTTAATGCTGCTACTCTGATATTAGCACATATGATGCCTTTTTTGTCATTCAAAAGAATGGGAAACAAAAAACATTTTAGTAAATTATATTATATACTATAAACTGGAGCAAAATTCTTTTTAGTTGTAAGTGCACATGATTACTGGCACATTTTTGTTGAGAATTTCACCCCATGATTCAGAAGTCCATTGACAGTCATATAATTATAGCCGTTTGTGGCATGGGATGAGATGTTGTGGGCCTACCATATGAAAATATCAGTGAAGTTCACCAACAATATCAACGGGAAAGACATAGACAATAACAAGTGAGACATATTAATAAGATTTCTGAAGGACATGACCTTGGATGTCTTCAGGGAAAATTCATAACACCTCACTCCATGCCAATAATAATTATTTATCTATTCCCCTGTATTTCTGAATTATTTCCATTCCAACGGACTCCTGAATCCCACGTGTGTGTGTGTATATATATAGACACACACACACAAAGAAAAAACAAAAATTCAACCCATATCGTATGGTTTTAGTTTTTGTCCATACTGTACAGACTTAAGTTGTATTTCACATAAATATACAATCTAGATGTATGATACTTTTTATCATTTGAACCTTTTAACTTATTACTGTATTTATGATTAATTTTAATTTTTTTTCAATTAATCATAACATCTCTGTACGAGTATAAAAGTTTTCTTTGCTATTTATTGTAACTTGAACTCTGTACTCATTTTATCTTCCCCTTTGTAATATTCTGACTTTACTCAACTTTTTTTTTTACTGTTATAGTCACAGAAGATTTCAATGGTTAGACAAGCAGTTTCTATTTCAAAATTTTTGATGAATATGTTAACATCACTAAAACATTAGTATCACTCTTTAAAAGTCTCAGTCTTGTGTTTTATTTCCTTCATTTTCAATTTTTATTACGTTATGGTTATATAAAACTTTTTTTTTTCATATATTAACTTCATTACAATATTAATGTTATTTTCTATTTCCAAACTGGTAATTTCTTAACGATTCAATATTTTAACCTATTTGTATTGTTTTTTTTGCCCCATTTAAATTTTTATTACTATTTACATTATATAGCACACTTACACAAAGACAAAAATAGACATGTTTATCAGGTTATGACAATGTGTTTGCTTGTTTTGAATTTCGCGCAAAGCTACACGAGGGCTATCTGTGCTAGCCGTCCCTAATTTAGCAGTGTAGGACTAGGGGGAAGGCAACTAGTCATCACCACCCACCACCAACTCTTGGGCTACTCTTTTACCAATGAATAATGGGATTGACCATCACATTATAATTCCCCCCACGGCTGAAAGGGCGAGCATTTTTAGTGTGACGGGGATTCAAACCTGCGACCCTCAGATTGTGAGTCAAGCACCCTACCCACCTGGCCATGATAATGTGTACTTTTAAAACAAGAAAGAATTATCTTGACTCACGTAAACCCTGATAAATAAAATGTTTCTCTAATCATGCAAAGAAATAATTAAATCATTATCAAACAGAAAAGAAAACTACAATTACATTACAGATCCAAAGAGATAATTAACACTACATTTTGTCAAAAGATCTTACTCTAACAATCTGGTCTGTTATGAAGCATTTCCTATAATAAAATCTAAATGGAATATTGAACACAAAAAAAATGCTTTATGTAAATAACACATCTAAGTTAATAAAAAAAAAAAAGTGTAATAAAACAAACATTTATTTCAAACAAGCATACACTGGAATAAGTTTTAACTCCAATAATGTCTATTACTGTCTGATTTGAATTAAACCTTATTATTTATAAAAAAGAGAAAGTTTAAAACCTAAAGTTAAATTTAGTGTTTAAACTTTTAATTGTTTTCAATAAAAACTTTGTTTAAAAATAATCTGGTTCAGTCAAGACAAAAACAAAAAGGTTTTCATTTTAATGAATCATGCAAACATTTATGAAAAATCCACAAACAAAGGAGTGCATAATAAATAACAGTATCAAAGAAAATGTACCCCAGACAAGACGAGTGTATAAGGTTGTTAAACAACACCTGCGAGATTGACATTTTACTTTGAGCTTCAAAAGTAGATATTTGTGTAATTCAGTTGAAGAAAAGAGACACTTTATAAGATACAGAAGCAGTATTTTGATATTTTCTCACTTAATCTACACAACACTAAAAAAATTGTTTTTTTATTTCCTTTTTTTTCATATGGGATTAATTTTTTATAGATCATGATAAAATTCTGCATTCTAAAATAAAACAGTACAAGACTAAATCTTTAAAAAATGTATCAAAGATTAACACAACAAAAAGCATTAATAAAATTATCAGAAACTTAACTCTCTTTTACAGAAAAAAATATTTACATATATTCGAATCTTTTAAAAAAATGTATGATAATTTTCTATATTTGCATACACAAAAATAAACATTTTATATTTATGAAGTGTCAGAGCTTTCACTTTCTGAATCATCTGGTGGTTTTGTGGCTTGTGTCTTGTCTACTTTAGTTTGAATCGCTGTCAGTCGTTGCTGGAGTGAATGATAATCAAACCAACCTCGCTTTTCACCAAAAGGATCCTGCCAAAAAGATGCAACATGTTTTTTTTATTAAAACTCTTTGAGAAGTTAAATATTCTGTTTAGTTTGCCCTCTGCTTTTGAAACTTCTACATAGCTGCAGATCAAAGTCAGTTTTGTTATTTCACTGCATTATATTCAAAGGTGTTATGCTTATTAAGAAATAATATATGATACTAAATATTAAAAAGTACGACTGTAGCCAACAACATAGATTTAGACCTGTATTAATATGACACACATGAAAGATAGCTCTTCTCATACCATTTACTTGACTTTTCTAAAGTAAAAAAAGATTATTTAGTGCATGTATTACTGATTTACAATGTATCCAAACATTATATAAATGTAATAAATAAGAAAAAAATATTTAAATAATTTTCCAGTCTACAAAGTTTCATCAAGTGCATCAACCATTAGTTGCTCCGATCCTTGTGAAATGAGCAACATTAATTATTTTTTAAGTCGGTTGCATATAAAATGTTACATGTTAGAAATAAACAACAGCAGATGGAAAACATTGTAAATTTATTCTGAAATTATGGCAACATTTTGGGTGAACTATTCTTTGTCAATTAGGGCTTGAATTCCTTTTAAAATTGGTTATCTAAACCATCTGTCTTAAGGTCTGCTCCAATCAAATGTTCCTAACATGAACATAAGGAACAGCACTTTATTTTCATCCTGTGAACCCTCTCCTCATTAGGTTTAAAGATGAAATTTTCTTTTATTTAATGTTTCCTTTTGAAAATTTTTTCAATCATTTACTGTGATTTAAGTATTACATCCATGCCTAAGTTCTCTCATTTTAGTACTTGTAAAAGTATGTATTGTTGTTTTTACCTCTCCTTATTTTAAATTTGAATTACTTTAATGTACCTTTTCATTCACTCACATTTATTATATTTTATTCATTTTTTATGCAATGTGTTTGGTTTATTGAACAATGTTTTTCCAACAATTTATGTACACATGATGCAACGTATACATTCTATTTCTTTACTCTTTTCTTTACTCTGTTTTTCATTCAGTTTTTATGACAATTTTAGGCTCCACCTGACGAATGGCCTTGACCCGAAATGTTGTAATCATTTCAAAATAAATTTACATTGTTTTTCATCTACTATTGTTTATTTCAGACATGTAATATTTTTTTCAATTACATTAAAGTATCCATTAATCTTTGTCAAATTCACAAATGGGAACATTAACAAAACAGATTAATATGCTGTACAAAGAAAGGTGAAATGGGAACAAAAACTGCCTAGTTCAGCATGACAATTGTGGAGAAAGTCTTGGAGGACTAATATACAAAAGTAGCACATGTGGAAAAGACAGCATTTTCAAATACTATAAGAAAGAAATTTCCTATTATTTCTAACTTTTTAACATAAACTGGAATTTATTGCGAGACATTTCTATCAATGTAAATCACATAGTGACCTATTTCCTTAGAATGTATCTTTATCAGATCAATATTTCACTATTATAGGTTTGTCAGGAGCTATCAGTAAACAACAAGTTTGTTAATTCAGTTGAACACCATCAGTTAATGGAACATTTATATGTCTAAATATTTCATACTGTATTATACAATATCAAAAATTCTTGGAATAACCCAAACCAAAAATAGTAAATAAACAATTATATGAAAATCAACAGATGAACTATTAAAATCATAGGATTTAGAAGAGGATACATCATATATATATATATATATGAAAAACATCTTCATACTTGTGCTATAAAGTATGTTTCCAGATATCTGTATTCCTCCATCCTATTATATCAATACATACACATAACAATGTCAAAATATATGGGTACAGCCAATCAAAGAAAGCTTTAGGTTTCTAGTCACAGATCCTCTTTTCACTTTTACCTTTTATTTTATATATAGTGTCAAAATATATCTTAATTACTGCGAAAGTGTATAGACTTTGTAAAAATTCCAATGTACTAAAATCTTAAGAATGCAATCAACATATCTACACTAGAGGTCAACCTTTATGTATATTAATTTTAGGTTTATTTTTCTTAGTTAAAATGGATTATTTAATCTTTCACTCAATTAAACTATCACATTTAAATAGATCTTGACATCTGATAAGGTGTTATTTGCTTGTTGTATCCCATGTTCTTGTCCATAATGCTCAGCAATAATCCTGTTATTGAGTTAAGCTTGTTTTAGAGCAAAGCCACATTGGGCTATCTGCTATGTCCACCCAGGATTTTATCATTTTAAGTCCATAAACTTACCACTGTCCCACTGGGAGACCATTGTTAATGAGGTTTTGAATGTCATATGCATGTTCAGATATTATATCATAGGAATGTGACACCTGATTATTTGTCAGCTAGGGCTCCCAACCTAACTCGTGTGGATTTTTTCACCTGAGGGTTTGCGAAAGATTAAGTCTGCAAAGTCAAACCAATCAATCTGTAGGATCTAAGAACTTAAGTAATCAGTGGATTTAAAAGAACATATCAAGAAATGGCTGCTTCTATTTCCAGATCAGTTATAATTCAGTATGAAATGTGTATGGGAGCTGAAGGTGAATATAAAGGCACAGGACAATAGTTTACTAGGTATTGTTGGGACACCCAGTATAATTGATAGGATTCCATGTAATAATCCTCAACTGTTTCTAGACATTACTCAAGATCACACAAACACTTCTTAATAAACTAATAACAGTTAAAAATTAGCAAAACTCAACAATGTGACACTGTTTTAAAATAAACGTACCAACATTCGCTGTGATGTCAAGTGAAGTTTACTATTCACAGTGGCTTTATAGTAGTCATAAAATTCAGGAAAAGACTGCAACATCACTTCTCTGGAAAAATTAAATTTAAAAATGCATTTACTTAATTCTGTAAGTAAAAGCTACAAAATGTTTTTTTTTCTTTGTTTATTGCTAAGTATAAAGTTACATAATGGGTTATAAGTTCTGTTATAAGTTCTCAAGCTTACCACTGAGCTAAAAAAAGAGTATTATTTAAATCTTCAAGTTTGAATCAAATAATATATAAAGCTGCACAAGTAGAAGTTGATGGTTAAAAGTTGCAAAACTACACAATCTCTTTTTGGTAATAATCTTGTGTACTGACAATAGCAGGCTAACATTACATGTTGACAGATGATCTTGAATTGTTCAATCATCTACTGATTTTCAAATTGTATTTTCCACAAAAACACTGTATAAGTAATATTTTATTTTAGTATTCTTTACTTTCTTTGCTTAACAACAGTTCTTGAATTTTACACATTAACATGACTTGATAACAAGTCCTGGTATTAAAGGTATCTTAAAAAAAAGACTAAAGATACAAAATCAGTGCCAAAAAAACATTAAAATAAAAACTATATAACATAAAAATAGAAAGTCTTACTCTTTCATGTATTTATTCTCATTATAAAACCAACATTTCAATGCATGTTACTTTTCTAACATTTTGAAATCCATTGGAATATGCTAGAGCAATTACGTGGTTTTCACAACAGGTTAAAGGTGTTATTTTTTTCTAGTAACTATATAAAATTTCAGCCAACCTGAGAGGTTCAGGACATATAGAAGATCCACTAATCACACCCTCCATCATGTCACAAACAGCCACCCGCATGGTTTCGTGTCTAATTATTTCATTATATCTAGTACTGTCTCCTGGGTTCCTTTCCTGTTGGAAGAATATTAAACTAACTAAAAGTTTGTTCTCTCTTCAAGGTGTGCTAATCCCAGACTTTTCATTGTGTATGAAAACAAGCAAATAAACATTTTCGTAAAAAAAAAAATGTAATTTCAGGTTGGATATTCTGGTATGAATTAAAATCAAGTTGTGTTCTTATATATATATATATGTCAAGAAGCAACTTTTTAAACACAAAATATATATTCTTAACTCATTCATCAATAAAATATATTTGTCAACTTCACAACAGATAAAAAAATGTGACTATTTCACACCAGCAAATATTTACTATTTGCAATTATTTCTTCATAAACACACACACAAAAACAACAGATAATGATTTTTCTCCCCATAGATCCATACCTTTTCAAAGCCTGGCTCATTGAAGTAAGGGTTTTCATTAAGAAGAGACTGAATTGATATTAAAACACTGGATAAACTCTGAGCTGGGCTCCATGCAGGGCCTGACCATGTTCTGAAAACCACAGACAAATACTGGTGACTCTGATATGAATTTTATGAAATGTTATGTAAAAATTCTGCATTATAGAGCAAAAAAATATTTTTTTCTCTACAGTATATCAGGAAATAATGCCTTCAGAATGATACTTTTTTTTTCCAACACAACAACATATAATCATAGGAACACATAATATTGTACAAAATAACAAACCATATAAAAAATATACTTGAAAATTTTAAACAAATATTTTAAAATCAAAATAAATGTTTTATAGCTACAATTCTATTGTGACAGTAAATGATTTTTTAAAACTTTATTAATCCTTTTTTTCAGTACTAGATGTCCATACACGAGCTCTGGTAATAACAAACTTTGGGACATGAAAATAAAAATGATTGGAGGATAGAAATGAGCTTAATCACATTTGATGTTTTGCAATTTCATCACATATATTTTCAATTAATTCTCATAGAAGAAAACTGTTGGAAAAAAAATTGTTAAACTTTATTTTCTCACAAAATATTTCACAGTATAAAAATCAAGCAGTCACTTAATGTGGTTTTATAAGATGACCGCACAGTGACAGGTTAGGTAAAAACAAACTTATAACAATAAAGAACCTTCAAGATTCATGTTAACATTTTACATAATTATTTCATACATTTCAAATTATCTGTAAATGTTAATAAAAACTATAAATAAAATACTCATCACTTGTCAAGGGCCAGTAAACACTTCAAGAATGCTCAAAAGTAAACAAATCATGCATTGTTTATTCTGTAAAATGGACAATAGTCTGAATTGATACTATCATACTTAGATACTATACATTTTGACCGTGGAGCAACACATCAGATAAAATATATTAAAATATGTTATATTCATAACAATCAAATCTATCAGTTACATTTAGTTTTATACATTGTCACCATAGTCACAGGTCTCTAATAAAAATTAAATGTTACATTTTGTATATATATATATATGTGTGGGACAAACTGTCCTGTCACATTTTTTACCAAACACTTTTAATTCACCAAATACACAGTACCTCTAAAATTCTAGCTACAGTCCCTTGAGATTGAATAACCTCTTTTCTTAAGATTTAATTTAAACAAATTTTCAGCTTTAACAGTTATTATAAAATTTTAAGACAATTTTTCATGAGTAATTCAAGTATTTTATGTCTTCTGTTATGTGCATATTTACATCTAAAGTATTCTAGGGATTATTAAAAAAAATCAAAGAATTGCATAATCAGAATTTCATTTAAATTATGTTGAAATAAGCTTAATAAACAGTCTGCTTTGTTAATTCTAATTTATGTTTTGGCAAATTGATTGGTAAAATTATTCTTATAATATTAAGTTACAATTATTTCAGTATTTATTTGTTTTCAAAGTACATAAATAAGTCTAGCTTATTTTCTTGGGTACCGATTGAACTAACATCATATAACTGATGATGCAACTGCATTTTACCACTAAGGAAGTCAGCTAAACAGTTGTTCTAATAATTGATATACACATTATTACTTACTGATGAGTGCTTAATTATCATTCTTACATCATATTTACATAATTACTCACCCAAGAATACTTAAACAGACTTTTCCATTCTTGTACAAATTTGGGTTAAATCGGACTCTTCCCTCACCAGTTGTCATTAACTTCACACGAGGTGGCTGAATAGGGTAGTCAGGTGGGCAACGAATCAAAAAGTAAAAAAACCCTCCTTCATAAGGAGTGTCAAATGGTCCTGTGATGAGTGCATGAACCTGAAAAATTATTACTAGAGCTTGTAAAGGTAGCTTCCTATAATGTTTACTGAGAATCAAGCTGGAACTGTATAACTGACAATAAAAAACTAGAGATTTAAAAAAAAAAGTTTCAAGTAAGTGCTCCTCAAAGTACAATGTACAATGATTAATATTACTCTCTCATTCTTTAAACTTCTATCACTATTTATGTACCATATTTAACATAAACAGTTTTTATTACATTATTTTATACTTTTATTATAGTTTAATTTCTTGTAAAAAATATTTTCAGTTAAAGGAAAAGAGATTTTATTACAAGCTGGTCTTCCTACAAGACAACATGCGAATCATGAGAATTACACAATGTAACTTGGCTTCTTCAGTTTCATATTAGAAGAACAATCAATTAGGAATATTAAACTTAAAAAAACTGATAAATTAATGGGTGAGTAAATAGATACTCTTGTGTAACTTGTTTACTTTTCATTATGTATTTATATACAGTGCCTTGCAAAAGTATTCACCCCTTCAAAGTTTCCACATTTTGTTGTCTGAGTTTGCAATCATGAAATTTTCAAATAGGACTTTATATTTAGAATCTACACAAGCTACTCCAAACTGAGAAAGCTAAAAAAAAACACTAATATTATGTAAGTAAGTTAGATTTTCAAAGAAAATTAGAATATTTTCCATTGCATAAGTATTCAACCCCTTTATTATGGCAAC